TATCATTTAAATGTAATGCAATTTAGAACTTGGCTGAATAAGGATGATTTCAACAGAATCCTATGATCATGTTACACTTCATGGAACTTTAGTGCTAACTAAACTGAACACATAACAAAATTCTTTTTTCATTTATTTTGTCAGGTTCCAACTAGAAGGCAAAAGAAAGGACACAAACCTAGTCTGTTGCTGCCTTCTTTTATTAACTTCCTGGCATATACTGACAATCTTTTGAATCTTTTGTTAGGGCTACATGCCCGTGCTCCTTGCCACCTTTTATACAATAAACACCACTTCTCCCATCACCCAATCACGTGCGTCTTTCCTCCCACATGTCCCAGAGTAAATTGCTCTCTGAATTAAGCCAACATAATAATTACACCTACAGCTTTCCTGCTTGCCAAAACCACCTATCCAATCGGCTGGGTTTTCCCTCCTCCAGCCCCTACCCACTGCCTTTCAGGCCTCGTTCGGGTCCTCTCTGCCGTTCTGGGTTATGTCATCGCCACGCAACCGCCCCTCAGCTGTTTGGTGGCCACGTGGCATCCCGGCAGTTTGGCAGGGTCTTTCGGATCAGTCGTATTCCGGTTGCTTCTGATTCGGCGTGGGATTCGGCGTGGCCACAGAGCTTACATCCCCCGATGTCATGGCAACATTTGGTGGGATGGAGGTTTAAATTAAGTACTTTTATAATTATTTTAAGGAATTTTAACAACTGTTAGATCTGCCATCACACCGTTCCAACCCTGCTTCGCTTTAATTTCAGCCTGCCATAAAATATGGGGGAAGGGGGAATACAGGGAGGGGAATACAAGAATCAGAAATGCCAACGAGATACACCAGTTGAATGATCCAAGGACACAGGCATGGGAACAGAATGCGAACACCTGTCAAAGAGGTGCCAAACCTCAGAATTGTTACCAAAACAACTAATTTCAACTTTATTGGAAACTAGTAAAATGACGGGGGGGGGGGGAAGGGGGGAGGGCCCGGGGCAGGAGAAAAGTAACAGCTTCAGTTCTGGCTTTTCCTCGGCTTAAATAAATGTATACTTTTCCTTACAAATGGAGTCGAGGGTCTTTCTTTCTTAAATGCTTATGTTGGATAGGCTTGACAGCAACTTTTTGCCTAATATGGTAGCAATGCAATCCACTTAAGCATGTTTTGATAATTCAGTATGGACTAATCCTTTAACCAATGGAACAGCTTGCCTTCAGAAGTTGTGGGAGCTTCATCATTGGAAGCTTTCAAGAGGAGACTGTACTGCTATCTGTCAGAAATGGTGTAGGGTCTGCTTGGGCAGAGAGTTGGACTAGATTACCTACAAGGTCCCTTCCAACTCTGTTAAACTGTATCTATCTGTATCTAAATCTGAGATGCTTTCATTTTTTATTGAGTCTACTTTGGAAATCAAATTGATTTCATACCTATATCAGAACTGAAAAATAGCTTTAAGGTTGAAATCTGTGATATTTATGATTTATGAAGAAAGTCAGTTGGGTTTCTAGCAATAGGCTAGAAACCAGAGGACCATGAAGCCTTAGGTACAAAACCAGGTGGGCGACTTTGGCTAATCACTTTCTCATACCCCTAGGAAGGAGGCAATGGAAAACCACTTTCAAAAAAACTTGTCATAAAACTGTAGGGACTGTCCAGGCAGTCTCCAAGAATCAGACATGAAAAAAATGTTAAAATATCTGAAAAAATAAATAAATGCATACAATAACTACTGCTAAGATAACTCAGCTAAAAAAGTGACAGTGTGAGCCATAAGTGTCTAAAGAATTGACAGGTTTCACTTTTTTAATGCTCAGTTCTGTGATCGGAGAGTGGGGAATAGCATTAGAGGATTTGATCGTTTATTAAATGTGTGGTATTCTTTTTTTGGCTGAGGGTATCAAATCCTAGCTGGTAGTATAGTTCTGCTTTAGGCTGTAAAAACAAGAGGTTGCCTGTAAATTTTTTAAAGCTCAAGAAATCTTCAAAGCTGAAAGTTGCAGTACTTTATAAATCACTTTCATAACTTTCCTCCAAGGAAAAATAGCTTTTCTCCCTGAAAACACCTTTCTTTTCCCATTTTAAATCTTTCATTCCTCTGTGAATTTCTCTGTATTAGTGATATACATTTCTTTCCCCATAGCCAGGTTAATAGAACACAATCTTGCCAAGTTAATAGAACACAATTTTGCTTTTCTACAATTCCCCACAGGTAATGGTTGGTAGTAAGGGCAGAAATGAAATCTTTGCATTATGCTGTATTTTAATTTCACACAAATATATTAAAAACTGTCTTAACTTAATCAATAGAAATTAGTGAAGGCTTTGGGCTAGGCTTTGAGAAGAAAGTCCAAGCTCCACAGTCAACCCTCAATTTTTTTTAAATCAACCATTCAGAGTACGCAGTTGATGAGATCATAGATTCATAGTATAGCATCTAAATGTTCCTCCCTCCCTCCCTCCCTCCCTCCCTCCATTGTCATTTTGGAATAGAATAAATCAAATTATGGATGCTTATTCCTTAATTTCTAAAAAGTATTTTGTGTAATAAACTAGTGCTTATTCCCAGGTAAAGGTGTTCAGCAACAGAAATAAATTCTGTTCTATTTTCTTAGTGATCCTTTTGGTATTTATGTTAAGAGTATTATTTTTGAAATAAGGTGAGGAAAACTGGATTTGTTCTGACATTTGAAAAGCACAGAGGCTGTGATAAAAATGGTATGTGGGTAGCTCAGAGAGAAAATCTAACTCTTGTCTAACAATAAAAAAATTATAGTTTGCGTGAGTTTGAAAGGACTCTGCTCAGTGCAGGATTCTGTTAAACCTTCCCTAGAAGGAAACTGTTTGGTGGTTCCTATTAAGGGATCTCCTGGACATGTTCTTGGCAGACTATTCCTTTGCTTTGCAGCTCTGACTTTCAGAACATCCCACCATATATTCAGCTGAAATCTCCTTTCTTTTGATATCAACCCAATGATCCTTATCAGTTTCAATAGAAAACAGGTCTTCCACTTCTTGTACCTTTTAGATAGACCTTTCTCATATTTTACCTTAATTTTTTTATTTCAAACATGCCAAACTCTTCCAACTATTTCATTGGCAAGCTAATCATGTCCCTTAACCATTTCACTAGGTCTTTGTTTCCAGGCCCTTTGTCGTTGAGGTAGCTCACACGTGAAAATGTTCATACTTCCTTTTGATATTGTGGGGACCAGAACTTCATAATGAGTGCAGAGTACAATGATTGCAGCACTGGCCTTAAGCATGAATAAGAACCTTGCTGGAAATGTATACCAGAGTGATAAAGAAGAAACAACATGGGTGACCAGGAGATAACAAAAGTTACATGAATGTTTGCAATAGTGGCGAATGTAAACATGAATTTTACATGAAACATTTACATGATGTAAAAACGTAGCAATAAATATAACATCCATTGGATTGCTGCATAACTCAGTTATTAGGAGTACTATTACTATTGGAGCATGGATGAGGGGATATTTAATTATGGGCCACTAAAACAAAGAGGACTAAAAATGTTGCTCGTGCTAACACCACTCATGGGGTGATGGAAGTTTGGAAGTAAGTTTTTTAAAGCCAATAAAAAACAGAGCCCTTTCATGTAGAAGATAGAGTAGGTAATTAAACTGTTCACCAGCTCAAACCGGTACTGAAAAATGGAAGGCATCTTCTTGGTCCTTATTTGCTGCCTTTATGATTTTTTTTTCAAAGTGGCTTGCATTGAATAACCTTTTACAGAGAGGATGACTCCAAACACAGTATTGCCTTTAGTAAAATAAAACATAAGGGTGGCCATTATAAGTGTGAATATATTCTGTAAGTGCTTCCAGTTTACCCAAAATAGTCTTCACTCTAGATTAAGAAAATAATATCTGACAGAGGCTGTAGGTTAACAGGTGTGGAGACTAATGTGGTAATATTGAAATCATTTATCATAGCAACAGGCACCTTGAGATGCTCTTAAGATACCTTTGACTTCCTTCATCCCAACCAGCATAGCAAATGGCAAAGAATGGTAGAAGTTTTCTGGAAGACATTGGGATGGCTTACTCTAGATTTATTACAGCATATATAAGTGCTTTTCCCACCCTCCTACCCCCATTTGTCATTAACAACACTTTATAAAAAAACACTGGGCAGTGGAATATTTTTGAGTTTCCACTAGAATAAATAGATTTTTTTTAAAAAAAGTCTTAAGACAGTTAAGGGAGGACAGTTAAGAAACAAGATGGGGTCTGCCTATTTGGAAAAGATGACCCATTCTTTAAATTAATGTTTTTTTTTCTAATCTGTAACTCTGTTTTTTCTCCTTACAAATAAACAATTTTTAATGTTAAGGATTTTAGAATCTATTTGTCCGGAACTTACATTCACAGACACCTTCTATAGTTCCTGACCCTCAAGTCAACTTATTATAACTTATTATTATAACCTAACTTGAACTGGCATAGCCAGTTAGGGCCATCTGAATTGTAGCTGTGAAATGAGAGAGTCTATTTACACCCATAACTTGAACTGTGAGTTTTGGGGTGATGTGGTATAAATGAGACTATCAAATCTTCATTTGATACTACATAATTATGCAAATGAAAATGTGATGTAATGATTTGATTATTTCTACACTCATATTAGTTTTGATTTTGTGGTCCCTACACTTGAATGGAAATATTTTGCTTCGTGTTGATTTATATAAATGACAAAGAGGCTTTTTTGGAACATCAGCCTTGTACAAAAATCATTATGAACTAATCTAACTATTTCTGTGTTATAAAACATGCAGTATTTCTATGGTTATTATCCGGCTGGCACAAATAGAATTCCCAGATCTATTTGATACATGGTCTTCCATTAAGCAGAACAAAATTGGCCCATTTATTATTCATTTTAGGACCTAAATCTCACAATGATATTGAATAGGCCAGAAAACTGCCAAAATTTGTTGTATTCTTTTTTTTGTTCTTCAGAAAGAAATTTATTTTCAGCACAAGATTTCAACTGGGATGGCCAATGTGAACTTGGCACCATGGGGAACCCTAGAATTTTCCAGGCTGTGACCTCTTTCCAAATTTTCTTCAAAGAAAAGTTGCATTCAGGTTCTGGCAATTTGTTGATAAAGTATATTTCATTCTCAAGAATCCCATGACACGAGGCCACCTATAGGCAGTGTACAATGTCCTTCATTTGTTTAGCTTTCATAAACTTTTTTTCCTGTCTAGCAGAATAAATGATGAATAGCACGAATAACACCCTATCTGTCCTTACTGTCTAACTTCAAGCTTAAATTAAAAAAAAGTTTCTCTAAAAATTAATGCTATCTATAGTAACTTGAAAACCAGCATTGCTATATTAAAATTCTTCTTTGAAATTCTCTTGACTGCTAGTGACTCCATGGACACAGCCATGTTGCTTTCTTGGCACAAGTATGGAATAATTTGTGATTGTCTTTTGTTTTTTCTCCCCCAGCATATCTTTTCAACTTCCCAGGAATTTCCAGGTTGTCTCCCACCAATTATAAAATAAGGCATGGCCTTGCTCAGCTTTGCAAGATCAGATATGGTCACCTAGATGGAGCCATTAGTTGGATATTGGTATTTTGTCAGCATTAGTACACCCTAGTATTTCATTTATTGCATGCCATAAGTAGGAAACATTATGGGCAAATTTCTAACGATGATAGGTATTTAAAGTCTATAATTATGTATTATTTGTCAGAATTTTGCTGTAGAAGCTTTAAAATAGTCTACTCTGTCAGATTGTCATTGATTTAAAGAGGCAGAAAACACTTAAAATGCAAAACATGTTTCCCAACCATTTACTTCTTTTTTTCATAATTTTATGACTCAGAAATGAAACCTTGCATTTCCCTCTTGTTTGTCAAAATAGGTAGCATGCATTGTAGTGGAATAAGAAGTTATTGATTCCTTAGGTTAAAAAGTTTTAAAATAGTGTTAATTGAATAATGGGCATTAGTTGCTTGACTTCCCCTCAAGTTTTCCCATTCTTTTCTCAGCCTGGTGTTGGAACAAATGACAGAGCAATACAACAAACATGTAGAAGTGGCATTTTTTTATTTTCTTACATTATTGTTATTTTGTCTCTCATTGCATGCGAGACATGCCATTCTGGTTTAGAATGGGGATTCACATTCACACTTGCCCATATACATTTCATGTAATGGGCACCTTTAGAATTTGAGAGCACGTTGTGGGCACTTTCGTAAAACATTCACCACAATGGCATGGTGAGCAAAAAAATATCTGCTGAGGCCCCTCTAGGCTACTTTTTTGGATGATTTGGCATAATTCCCAACAAAGCTCTGGACTGCAGCCCTTCTCACATTTAGAACTCACAAACTTCATCAATAGTATTGCTTAACGCATTGTAAGCCGCCCTGAGTCTCCGGAGAAGGACGGCATATAAATTAAAGCAAAAAAAAAAAAAAAGTTCACCTTCCTGTTAATGACTACTTCAGCTTCAACCACAACAATACACGAGCAAATAATAGATACAAACTCAAGGTAAACCATTCCAAACTCGATTGCAGAAAATATGACTTCAGTAACAGAGTGGTCAATGCCTGGAATGCACTACCTGACTCTGTAATTTCTTCCCCAAACCCCCAAAACTTTAACCTTAAACTTCTACTTTGACCTCACCCCATTCCTAAGAGGTCTGTAAGGGGCGTGTATAAGTGCACCAGTGTGTCTACCGTCCCTGTCCTAATATTCCTTTTTACTCTTACTCTTTTCATGTATTCAAATTATGTTTATACTTTTTACCTGTAATCTTATATATGCTTGACAAATAAATAAACTTAAAATTAAACACTGATTTTCAAGTTGTTATTGGGATGTTTATTTCCTCAGCCATCATCTTCATTTTTGTCAGTCTGTTTCCCTATTTCTAGGAGACTTATTATGCCAAATGTCTGATAAATGTAGATACCCTTTCCTGGAGTTCAGGTAATGGTGTCTTAGGCTCTCTTTTCCTGGCTCTAACTCTTTTGCATAGAGAACTTATAATTTTGTTGCTATGATGCTATGAAGATGATATACAGTAAGTCACTTGTGGCGAAATGGCCATATTCATTGTTTTGAGAATGGGCAAGTGGGAGAACTGAATTCTGGCTATTCATTATCTAGAGGCAGGTTCTTTATTGGGAGTGCTAATGTATTAAAAAGAGTTTCTCCTAATGCCCATTAGGCTTCCTGCCCATTCAAACTTTTCATTTTCATGTATATGAACTTGGCTTGCTGCAAAGTGTCATCTTCAAATGCCATAGTTATTTACAACAGTAAAAAAATATCAAGGCATTATTTTGCTCTTGATGCTGATTACTATCATAGTGACTGGGTATGATAATTCGCTGTGGCCAACTTGCAACAGCCAACTCACCGCAGCCAATTCGCCACAGAACAATTAGCTGCAAGACAAGAGTTACACTAATATCAGAGAAATGATGGAATAGAATCATTAACGAAAGGATGCAAAAGGAGGGACAAAATGAAATGTGAATGACAAAAATTAAAATATTTTTTATCTATTTTCAATAATAAAATTGAATGGTTATTACCTATAAAATCCTACATGGCCTAGGCCCGGGATACCTGACGGACCATCTGCGGCTAGTGACAGCTCACCATCGCCTGGTGTGTTCCCACAGGGAGGGCCTCCTTGGAGTGCTGTCGGCCAGGCAGTGTCGTCTGGCGACTCCTAGGGAATGGGCTTTCTCTGTGGGCGCACCTACAGAGATTATGATTATGGAATCAACTCCCCCTGGAGCTCCGGGTGGCCCCTGACCTGTGCTCTTTCTGCCGTGACCTTAAGACATGGTTATTTCGCCAGGCCGGATTGGACTGAAGGGGTTTTTAAGGGGAGTTTTAATGGTTTTTAACACTTAATATTGATTTTATCTGTTTTTATTGCTGTGAGCTGCTCTGAGTCCTTTCTGGAGAGAGGGCGGCATATAAGCTAAATAAATAAATAAATAAATAAATAAATAAATAAATAAATGGTCATAAGGCAAGTTGTCCTGCAAGCGAATTGGCTGTGGCGAGTTGTCCCATGGTGAGTTGTCCTGTGGTGAGTTGGCCATAGCGAGTTGGTCACAGTGAGTTGTCCCATTCCGTTCTGGAAGATACAGAAACTTCTTTGGATTTCCCCCCCTTTTTTTCCTTCCAGCTATGTGTCTACAAATCATATGCTAATATTTGGATGTATTTGCATAAGAAGCCCAGGGAAAATGATGTGCCCTCTTCTGTAACACACCACCCTCCCCAAAGAACATGCTGTTGCTTTTTGTCATTACTTTGCCTGCACATGATGACAAATTCAGGGAGGGAAATGTGTTCTTGTGAATGTCAGTATAAGAGAAGGGCAACTGTCTGGGAAGCGTGGCAAATTCCTAGCTGCCTATATTAAACATTTTCATATCTCTGCATCAGCTTTTTTTGTTATTTGCAGAAGAGTCATTGCCAGATGTAGGTGATACACAAATTGATGCCAGTCTGGTCTAGAGGTTATTATATATTTAAGAGAATAAAGTTGACAGGATGACCTTGCTGAGCCAAGCAAAAATTAGGATATTAGTTCGCTCAGGACTTCTACTTTCAGAGATTTTCACCTCCACCAGCAAAAATAAGAACTGAACACTTATTTTTTAGTGCTAAAATGACTTATTTTAAAAGAAGTTCATTTACTTCAAATTTAGTCCATCGTTTATTACAAGTAAACAATAGATTCTTTGCAATATTTTATTGTGATTTCTCTCCTGATGCATATGTATAACGATCAATTAAGCCTTCTTTCTTTTCTGTTACAATGCAAATAAGGAAAGAATAAACTATATTCCTCAATTAAGGAAATATATTATGCCTAGGATAATTCAGTTACAGATTGCATAAGTGTAAGAAACATAAGAAGTATAAGATTATGGAGTCTTGTTATTTTCTGTTTTGTTTTGATCAAGTCTTACATGGAACATTGTAGTTCAAGAATGAGATCAAGAAATGGGCAGAACTGTTATTTCCCCTCCTTTATGTCTAATGTTTTAGCCTGACAGAAGAAAGAAAAGGAAAGAAAGAAAGGAGAGAGAGAGAGAGAGAAAGAAAGAAAGAGAGAAAGAAAGAGAAGGAAAGAAAGAAAGAAAGAAAGAAAGAAAGAGAAAGAAAGAAAGAAAGAAAAAGAGCAAGCAAGCAAAAACCAGTTACTCTGGATAAAGTAACTTGCAGAAGACATCATAAAGTATAACTAAATATAACAATTTCAGGCTTTTGGTGAGAAAACACAGGTCACTCTTTGGACTATGCCCTGAAATGCTGCTGTGGCAGTTTTAGTGCATGATAAATATGACTCCTAAGGGAGAAATCAAATAGGACTCCGGGTTTATGGACCATAGCTGCGAGAGAAATAAGATTATCATCAGGGGAAACAAACAGAAAGAGCTGATGAATGTTTCTTGTACCTCATTTGTCCATGAATTATTGCCCTCATTGTCATCTGTTTAGGTGTCCCCATAATTTCATATAATTACTTGCTTGTTATTTATGAGAATTTCTGCATATGATTTATTTCAATGTTTATATTAATGTTATTTACAGTTTCTACTTTTGCTTTTCCTATCTTTTGTTACACTCCCTGAACTTAATTGTCCTTTGTGAATGAGGGTTCATAGCTCATATAAGCTTCAATAAAATCAGACTTCCTTTTATTTTTTTAAAACTTTATTTTTATCTTCAGTTATGTCTCTCCTTAGCCTTCATGATTTAAAGAAATCTGGGGTAATATGTCAACTTTAAGGCAGGTTAAGAAATAAATTTGAAAGCATCAAATTGGTTCTCCTATTATACTTCAGCAAAATAAAATATATTTTGTAAATGTACTAGGAAAATAATAAAATTTGTCTGGCTCAGTTGTAACAACAACAGGTCTGTTTCAACCAACTTGGCTATTTCAGACTGACTAAAACTTGCAAATTATCTTGTTTTAAAATAGCTTCATTTTCTAAAAAATATTTAGGAAACACAATAAGAAGGCTGGATTATTATTTTTATTATTATTATTGCATTTGGTGGCAATACTGTAAAGCTCCACAGTTTGGGAAAGTGATTCACATTCATTTCATAATTTTGAAAGTTGAATTCACATTACAAACTGCAATATTTTTTTTAAGTAAACCTTAATTGCTTCAAAATATACTGAGCTAGAAACCTTGGGAAATTAGATGTCTAGTACTGATTCAA